AAACTTTTTTCAGCAACTTTCAGCTAATTTCAGCTGTTTTGTGCTCCTTTTAAATTATTTCCGCTAACTACAACATTTTTGTGTTTCTTCTTTTGCTAATTTCAGCTTGTTACACTCCTTTCAGCTTATTCTGCAAGTTTCAGCTTTTTCTGCTATTTCAGCTACTATTTAGCTGCTTTTATGCTAATTTTAACTTTTACAGCTAATTCCACATCTTTTGCACAAATTTCAACCTTCTTTCAGTCTAATTTGGCACAATTGTTCTCTCTCCACTGCTTTCTAGTAAGTTAAATTTATTTCTGTCTTTTTAGCTAGCTACTATTCAGTTGTTGTTTTTGAGCAAATTTCTGTTTTGTTCAGATAATTTTCACCTTTCTGCTTCTTTCAGCCTAGTTGGACAAACGTGTTCTTTCTGCTTTCTTCTGCTTATTTAAGCTTGTTCTACCTTTTCAACTACATTTTTTTTTTTTTACCATTTTTAAGTAATTTTAGCTGTTTAAAAAAAATTCATGTTAATTTATGCTACTGTTAGCCTAATTAACTTCTTTCTGCTAATTTCAGCTTGTTATGCTACTTTCAGCTTATTTCTACTAGTTTCAGCATACTATGTAGCTGTTTTGTGCTAAATGTAGCTTTTTCAGCTAAATCCAAAGTTTTTAGCTCATTTCAGCTCCTTCCACTTTCTTCTTTTTTAAGCTTAAGCTTCGTTCTGCTTTTTCAGCTATGTTTCAGCATTTTATTTTTTTTTTTTTGCTAATTTTGGCCTTTTCAGCTAATTTCCTCATTGTTGTGCTCATTTCTGCTTATTTAAAACTAATTCAGCAAAAATGTGTTCTGCTTTCTTCTGCTAACTTAGGCTTGTTTTTCCATTTCAGCTGCAATTCAGCATGTTTTTAGCTAATTTCAGCTGGTTTTCAGCAAGTTCTTCTGTAATAAGCATTCACACCTCATTTTTGTAGGAAATGCAATTTCTCTAGTTTATTTTTTTATCAGTCACTTCTTCACCTTCTTCAACATCTGTGCAAGAGTTCACAAAGATGATGGTGCCAATATTAGAGACTAGAGGGGCTAAAGTGGGACAAACCACCATTATTATAACAAATAAGATAGTA